TTGCTGAGTCTCCATGAAAACACAGGACAGGCTAACGTGGGGTAAGAGGGGCAGAGTGCCACCTAAGTTAAGATCGCAATCAAGTTCAAGCAAACTTTAAGCAAGTGGCAAGTGGCGGTCGGCTGTAGGGATGAACAGGTGACTGGAAATGGGTGTGGGCTGTTTGCACAAAGCCAGCTAGCAAAATATGCAGGGTAAATAACAGCACTTCAGAAAACTCCACGGCTCAATGGCCTGTCTTCCCCCACCTCTCTCAGTGCAAAGTTACTCTAGAGCTTCTGGAAGATTATACTGGAAACGGAGAATCAATATCCACACAGAACAGGCTGGATTTATTTTGGAGTCATCTATGACGAAATGGTTTGCTACGATGCTAATAACGACATGACATCTCAAGTCTGTGTGAGCACATGTGGGGGTTGATGTTTACCTCTGCACTGCAGGGTGAGCTCCGTTGGGGCAGGGCCTGTCTCTCCCACTCCTCTATCTTTGTAACCTGAATATCTAACACTAAGCCTAGTATACAGCAAGCGCTTGGCTGTCTCCTTAAAGGAACAAAGACATGCTCAAGACAATAAATGTCCAACTTCTAAGAGGAACCCATTTTATTCCGACAACGTATACCCAGATGATGGTTCTGATTTACCCTCTGAGGGGCTCCAACAAAACAATACCTAAGAATGCTTTCTTGGCAGCTCGTTCCGGACCACTGCGATACTTCATTTATATTAACTTTTTCCTAAATGAGATGAGCATCCCTCCTTGCCGTCTAAGTGCGTGAGGCTTTCTACAGTCCTGTTTTTTTCTGACTGGATAGTCTTATAACCTTCCCCTTGACTCTGATGCTATTAATCAGGGCAGTATACAGTGAGCCTGATACTAAAGGACCCACTATGGACAACTGAGTCTTTGTGTTCTCTCCAAATTGGGTTTGAATCACATCAGTCCTGAGTTACTGTATTTATTCTTCATGATTCTTTGGGTTGATGATTTACATTTAAATTATGCTAGTCTTCAGGACTACGGGATAAGAGACTCAAGAAGGCACACTGAAATCCACAAACAGGGTCCTCTGGATTACCTCATAGTCCCAGGACACGATGCTGGCTAGCGTGTGATACATTTATCATTACAAACGGTAACGTCTCCGTCTCTTTCACACAAATGCAAACCAAGCAGGGCTTTCAAATTAATAAGCCTTTGTGGGTTCTTTTCTGTGTGTTTTGTTTTGTTTTGTTTTGTTTTTAGCTGAAATGGAAATCTGGTGCTTGACTCAGGAAATCAGGGACAAGAAAGTAGCAGGAGGCTTATATTTACCTTTGATAAGCCATCATTTGTTGCTTAGATGCAAAGAAGCCATAAAGACAGAGTCTGTAGTTAAAGGGCATGAAACATGCTCTTACAGCAGCCAGGGAAGATGAACGTTTAAATGTAACTTTGTTCACTAGTATTTCTCAAACACAAACACACCATATGAAGTGGACACTGAGTCAGACACTCGCTGGAGACACAAAGATAACAGAGCAAGGCTTTCTTGCTCAAGGAGCTCATGATTTGCAAGGAGGCTAGAATGTGTCCAATTAATGCTGATACTGCATTTCCTGCATTTCCTGATACTGCAGGAAAACAGCCAGGTTTCGTGTACAAAGCTAGCTTAACAAAGCACAGAAAAGGCAGCAATAAAATATACTAAGGAGACTAACGAAGGTTTCAGGAGACTCCAGTTGGACTTTACTTGGAAGGGCGCACAGATTTTTATCTGGAAAAGTCTGAAGGAAGATATTTTAGATAGAGGAAACTGCATGAGTTAAAGCAGAGTGTGTGAGGGGCGCCTGGGTGGCTCATTCGGTGGAGCATCTGACTTCGGCTCCAGTCATGATCTCACAGTTCATGGGTTCGAGCCCTACATCCGGCTCTGTGCTGACAGCACAAATCATCTGTCCCTCTCTGTCTCTGCCCCGCCCTCACTCGCACTCTCTCTCTCAAAAATAAATAAACATTAAAAAAAAAAAAAAAAAGCAGAGTGTGTGAAAATATAAGGTGTGTTCAGTAATACATGCAGGGTCCAGTGTGGATGGAGTGGAGGCTATTAGGGGCAGGGGTGGTAAAGGAGGGTGGAGAAATGGATTAAAGCCAGATTGCAAAGTGTCTGGAGTGTGGAATATGTATGGGATTTATCTTACAGAACTGGAAAACCATCAGGCTTTTTCGAAACAGGAGAATGCAAGAGAAGAGGTATGTTATGGAAAGATGACTACCTGTATGGAGCACGGATATGAAGAGACCAAAAGATGAAGACAGGGAGGCAGAGCTGCTTCTAGATTTTAAGGAAGAGATAACCTGACAAACAAAACAACTGCATAAGAAATGAGGAAAGGATGACTCCTTCCATTCTCACTCCATGCAGTTTGATGATGACATCACAAAATGTCTGCTTGAAACCTGCAACTCACATTCCCACAATCCCTGTGGAATTCCAAGAAAGCTCTGTTGGTCACATTAAAATGCCATGACTAGGGATGCTGCGTGGCTAAGTTAGTTGAGCATCCAACTTCGGCTCAGCTCATGGTCTCACGGTTTGTGAGTTCGAGGTCCATATAGGGCTCTGTGTGCAAAGCTTGGAGCCTGGAGCCTGCTTTGGATTCTGTGTCTTCCTCTCTCTCTCTGCTCCTCCCCCACTTGCAGATGCTTTCTCTCTCTTGCTCTCTCTCTCTCTCGAAAATAAATAGAAAGCATTAAAAAAGCTTTTTAAAAATACCATGAATAATAAAAGTCATCCAAATTTAAACTCTCAAGATTCCATCACACAAAAACTGCTAATGAATGAATTTTGTGGGGCACATTAGTGGCTAAGTTGGTTAAGTGTCCGACTCTTGATTTCGACTCACATCATGGTCTCACAGAGCTGACAGTAGGGCCTGCCTGGGATACTCTATTTCCCTCTCTCTCTGTCCCTCCCCTGCTCGCTCACTCTCAAAAATAGGTAGGACACAAAGTTGCAGGACACAAAATCAACATGTGAAAATCAGTTCTGTTTTTATACCCTAGTAATGAACAATGTGAAAAAGAAAATAAGAGAACGATTTCATTTACAATAAGATAAAAAATGATAAAATACTTAAGAAATAAACTTAAGGAGACAAGACATATACACTGAAAATTATAAAACACTGCTGAAAGAAATTAAAGAAGACAAATAAATGCAAAGATACCTTGTGTGCCTGGGTTGGAAGAACTTCATGTTCAGATGATAATAGCACACAGATCAAGCTACAGACCCGATGCAATCCCTATCAAAATCTCATGGCACCAAAAAAAACCCACCCACAAACACAACACAAAACAAAACAAAAAAACCAATCTCACAGCATCTGTTGCAGAAATAGAAAAACCCATCCTAAAATTCACATGAAATCTCAAGGGAGCTGAGTAGCCAAAACAATTTGAAAAAGAAGAACCAAGCTGGAGGGCTCACACATCTTGATTTCAAATCGTACTACAAAGCTACACGAATCAAAACAGTAGGCTACCTACAAAGGACAGACATATAAACCAATGGAATAAAATAACAGAGCCCAGAAATAAATCCCAGCATACGGGCAGTCACTTTTTAAAAAGGAGGCCAAGGCCATTCAATGAGGAAAGAACAGTCTTTTCAACAACTGGTTCTAGGAAAACTGGGTATCAATCTACAAAAGAATGAAGTTGGACCCAACTGTTATATCATATATAAACATGAACTTTAAATGGGTCAAAGACCTAAACTTAAGAGCTGAAACTCTAAAACTCTTAAAAGAAAACAGGAGAGGACGTGAGGGTGGCTCGGTCACTTAAGTGTCCTACTCTTGGTTTCAGCTCAGGTCACGATCCCAGGGTCGTGGGATCGAACTCCACATTCGGCTTCACGCTAGGTGTGGACACTATCAAGAAAGTGAAAAGGCAACCCCAAAATGAAAGTGCATCTGGTAAGAGATTAATAGCCAGGATATACAGAGAACCCCTGTAAGTCACCAACCAACAGTGAAACAACCCAATTCAAGAGTGAGCAAAGAATGTGAATGGGTATTTCTCTAAGGAATATATATACATTCTCATTACCATTTTATACCCTTTAGGATAGCTATTAACAGAAAAGGGGGAAATTACAAGGGCTGGTATAGGAACCGAAACCTTCCCACATTGCTGTCAGAAATACATAATGATACGACCACTGTGGAAAACAGTATAGTGGTTCCTTACAAAAGTAAACATATAGTTAACATGTGACCTAGGCATTTTACTCTTAGATACATACTGAAAAGAACTGAAAGCAAGGATTCAAACAGATATTTGTATACCAATGTTCACAGCAGCATTTTTCACAGGAGCCAAAAAGAAACATCCACGTGTCAATCAGCAGATAAATGGATAAACAAAATGTGGTCTTTCAATATGGTGGAATATTATTTGCCCTTAGGAAAGGAATGGAGTTCTGGCATATGGTGCAATGTGGATGAACCCTGAAAACATTATGCTACATGAGATAAACCAGACACGGGAGGACAAAGACTATGATCTCATGTACATAAAGGACTTAGAATAGTCACATCTAGAAAGCAGAGTGGTGGATTCCCAAAGTTAGGGAAAGGGAGCAACTGCTTAAGGATTATGGAATTTCTGTTTGAGATGATGAAAAATTTCTGGAAGATTTTGGTGATGACTGCACAGCATTTGTACATTCAATGTAGTTAACTGAATATTAATTGAACTTAAAACGCATATAAGATGAAATGCTGTTACATTTAATTTACCACAATTAAAAAAACCAGCATGAATAGCACTGTTTTGACTGCAGATAAGTCTATGAAGCAAAGAAAACGGAGTAATGTATCAGATGAGAAACTTATTTTCAGATCCAGGGGGGACCTGGTAAATGCAGAAAGAAGTCCAAAGGCAGAAACCGGCCAAGATCTACTGTCTCGTAGAAGCGGTCGAGATGCTCGAAGAGACCGCAAACTTACATTGCAGTTTGACGAGCCATCGAATGTCGGGTAAGAACCGTCTGGCCAGTCGGCAGGGTCCAAGGCTGCTGACTGCCGGTGTTGGGCCTCGTATTCTTTGAGCTGCAAGAGAAAATGAAAGATTGAAATGAAAATAATGGCCAGGGCTGTCTCCCAAGCAGCAGAGAGAATGTTCTGGCACTTTCTTCATGCCACAGTTGGGAACTCAGTGCTAGTCAAAGACAAGGTTCTTGAGGCTGAGGGGACGACGCGCAGTCCGTCCTGTGATTTTTCACCTACAACAACCAGACAGACACAACGGACTCTTTGTATCCTGGATTCTTAAAAGAACCTTGATTTTCCCACCAAGGTCCTCCAGCATCAACGGTGATCTTTCTCCGTTCAATTATAAGTTCCAAAACAGAAACTGTCTGTAGTTTGGTCTCTGAATAACTTCTTTTTGTAGAAGACACAATGTGGTAGACATTTTGGTAAAACAGAGGTGGAAACCTGAAATGGATTTTCTAAAATTACTTGCTTCTCTTGCTCTAGACTGCTTCAAGTTACCAGTTATATGTTATCAGCTAACAAACATTAGGGGTTTTACTGGGGACCCTTGTGGATGAGAGGAAAATAACAGACTATCTAGAATATGTTCAGCGATTTAAAGTGTGGGTTTAGAAACGAGGTTTCTAGGGGCGCCTGGGTGGCTTAGTCGGTTAGGCGTCCGTCCGACTTTCGCCTAGGTCATGATCTCGCGGTTCGTGGGTTCGAGCCCCGCGTCGGGCTCTGTGCTGACTGCCAGCTCAGAGCCTGGAGCCTATTTCAGAGTCTGTGACTCCCTCTCTCTCTGACCCTCCCCTGCTCACGCTGTATCTCTCTCTCTCCTAGAAATAAATTAAAAATTAAAAATTAAAAAAAAAAGAAACAAGGCTTCTACTTTCTGGAATAGAAAGACAGGTGAGGCATTATAAGAAATTGGCAATTGTAAGGGAACAGAATTCGATGAAAGATCTTTTAGGATGGCAAATGTGAGAAGTTCCAAGTGTGTTTTCATAAAACATGTAGAAATTTAATTCTGTAACATAATACACTTACATTGCCACTGTATTAAAATTCTATTATAAAGTAATGCTTAGATATAAATTTAAGACACTGATTAAATCAGTTCCATGTATGAAGACACCAAAAAAAGCAGAAATGATCTGACCTAACAGCCCAGGAGATGGTAACACGACTGTCCTCAACCCACAGGAGCTACGTGGATGTGGCAAAGTCACCATGCTGTCAATAGCCCTCTAGGGAAGAGCAACTTTCCAAAGTATCATTTCTACCATGAAATTCTTTTCTGCGCACACGTGTGATGGGAGACAACCTGGGGAAGGCTGACAGTAGTGATTAACTAGCGGCAGCACCAAGTGTCAACTGGGATCCCTTGGGCCCATTACTTAACTCTTCTGTGCCTCAGTTCCTCTCCTTTGAAAACGGGGATGACAGGAAGCTATCTCACAGAACTACCAGAATTAAGACAACAAAGCTCTTAGCACACCGAACCCATGCCACGGATTCAGTATGAGCATAGTGTTATCACCACCCTTGTGGTAGAGATCAAAGTGAACTCAAAGTTCACATCAACTCCAAGAGTTTGAACTCTTGCTCTTTGCTAATATCATTTTAGTCTTTCTAGTACATCAGGGGCATTATTTTTACCCTAATCTTTATAGTACATTTATGTATGAGAATGATTTTTCCTGGGGCACCTGGGTGGCTCTGTCAGTTAAGCATCTGACTTCAACTCAGGTCATGATCTTGCAGTTCATGGGTTCAAGCCCCGCATCGGGCTCTGTGCTGACAGCTCAGAGCCTGGAGCCTGCTTCGGTTTCTGTGCCTCCTCCTCTCTCTGTCCCTCTCCTGCTAGCGCTCTGTGTCTCTTTCTCAAAAATAAATTAAAAAAAAAAAATTTTTTAAATTAAAAAAGAAAAAAGGAATGCTCTTTCCTTCCAGATATACTGGTTACTGACATGCTACATTCTCCCTGCATGATGGGAATGGGCGGCGACTGAAAAATAGGGTTATCATTTGTGTTCTCCGGGTTTCTGCCGTACTTTTATACTCAGCCTTTGGTCCCCCTCCTAGGAGCCACTAACTAAGCTTCATCTTTAACAAAAACAAAACAAAACAAATTCCTAACTAGTCAATCATAACAGATTCAATATTTTACTTCTTCTATCTGCCCATTTCCTTCATTTACTCTGGGGCCTAGGGGAGTACCTGTGCTTCCTCAGGGAGAGATTCAAATTTAAGCTCTACCCAAATTTACATTGTTTTTTAATTTTCTAATTTAAAATTGCTATGTTTTAAGGTGCCTGGGTGGCTCCCTCAATTGAGCGTCCAAGTTTGGCTCAGGTCATGATCTCACAGTTCAAGAGTTCTAGCCCAGCGTCAGGCTCTGTGCTGATAGCTCAGAGCCTGGAGCCTGCTTTGGATTCTGTGTCTCCCTCTCTCTCTCTCTCTCTGTCCCTCCGCTACTCATGCTATGTCTCTCTCAAAATAAATAAACATTAAAAAAATTTTTTTAAATAACAATTCTATGTTTCAGAGCTATAAAACAGGATCTCTAAAAAGAATTTTAAGTGTATTTTACAGGGGGAAAACCCAACCTGACTCTTTTTTATATAACTACATTTTTATATTTTACTTTGCTCCCAAAGAAGTTCTGACTTACATATAATTTCATGGAAGAAAGACAATTGATGATTTCATTTGAGAACTTAGCTCTTTTAAAGCAACCCTATATCTTTAAAACAATGACAGATGATGTGGGGGGGGAGGGCATGGAGGAGGACACTTGTGGGGATGAGCACTGAGTGTTATGTGGAAACTAATCTGACAATAAACTATTTGTAAAAAATAAAAATAAAAATAAAAAATAAAACAAACTAGCCCTTTTTCACTACAGGTCAGAAATGTGTGTTCACAGCCTGATCTATTTTGCACCATTGAAAGATAAGTCTCGTCTAAGCTATACAGTAATCTAGTGCTTTACTGGGACTTCCGCTGGACCTGGGGACTGCATGGGTCTGTTTTGTTGAAATGTGATGGCTCCATACACACCCACTCAGATGCATTTGTACATCATTTATGTAGCAGCTGTCTCCATAAAGTCTGATAGAAATAAAAAAAAAAAAAAAAAAGACAGATGTATGAGCGTGTGCATGCATATGCATGTGTGTGTGCACGTGTGTGTGCATGTCTGTCTTGGGAGGAAATACTCCTTTCATATCCCATTTTCTGTAGTCTCACAGTCTGCTCATACTTGAAGTTTAGGACATGATTCCTAGAGGGATGGCCATCTTTAATAGGTTAATGCTTACTCTATTTTTAAAACCTTTGAGGAGATTCTAAAATGTTCCCATTTCTACAAGAAAAGAACATTTATATCTAATCTAAATCCCCTCCAGCTGCAAGTTAAATTCATTTCTTTTTATTCTGTCTTCAGTAGAGATTAAAACAAAATAAAACAAAACACTCTTCAGTACATCCTGAAGAGATGTTGTTTAATAATCCTTCATATACTTGGAGACGGTGATTAAGTTCTTTTCTGCTTCTTCTTGGAGATGAATCTTTTCCATTTTTCACCTATGGGCCATATTTTAAAAACCCCATAATTATTTTATTGTTATAGGGACTTTCTCCATGAGCCTCTGTGATTGATCACGGAAGCTGCTGCAAGGAAATAATTTAATAATTTTTATAACAATTTAATAACATATATATGTTTAGATTAACCTATATAGGTTGACCTATATATATAGGTTCCTGGTTTGTAAGTGTGAGCTCTGGTATACCAGATGCCCAGACTCTGTTGACAAAACTGTTCACCAAGTCCCCAGTTATTGTGGATCTTGGCTCACATCTATATCCTGTAGTTCTCTTTGGAGAACTATCCGTGGTTGACAGGAGCCATTTCCCAGAGTTACCTAGAAGGCTGCCTCCTCTTCCTCCCCAACCAGCTTTAAGCTTCTCTTTCTCTGATAGGACAACTTTACAATGCAATTCACCTTCTAGAGCTCCCCACTCCCCATGGGATTGGCCTGAAGCTAGATTTCCCCTCAAATCACATCTCTGTCCAGCTTTTTCCTCTGGCTCTCCTGCTGCCTCCCCTCACTTAGCGGCAGTCAAGTCAGTGACAAACCTCGAGTATCTTTATTTAAACCCCAAATACTTTATTTAGGACTTTCACCCAGATACGACCTTATGGGACCAGTCACATATTTCTCAGATGGATAAACATGTAATATTTAGCAATTGGATCAAGTTACATGAGTAGTCTTTTGTATTGATACTTATATTTTACTTTAGGAAATACGATTATTAAATCATGGTTACAGACCTCCCTCAATTTCCTATAGATAGTGCCTCCTGGTAAAATGTCGAAGGATATATTTTCCTACAACATGGCCCCATCCTGCTGCGCATCATGGTTCCAAAGCAAGGGTTCTCTTCTAGCCAAAACTTTAAAATGGAGTTTATTCCCTGCCCACCCATTGTCACTTATTTGCCAAGAATCAAACTAGCTAAAATTAGCACCTGGAAATTGTATTACACAAAAAATGCTAATTACCTAGATCCCAATTTTTTTTTTTTTTACTAATAAGCTTGACTTCCCTAAAGCACATGTGGTAAGTATCCACCACAAAACTATTAGAAAATGTTTGAAGTGCCATTAGATTTGATGGAACTATTCAATTAATAAAATATAAGAACCCTAAGTTAAGCCACTGTCTTTTTAAATTACACATTAAAAAAATACAGAGTTGTTTCATAAATTTCATTCTCTTCAAATGCCGCTTTGCAGCTTACAGTGGCGTTTCAAATATTAGTTCCTTACAGCCTTTTTCATTTAAAAAAAAATTTTTAATGTTTTATTTATTTTTGAGAGAGAGAAAGAGAGACAAGCACAAGCAGGGGAGAGGCAGAGACAGAGACACACACACAGAATCTGAGGCAGGCTCTAGGCTCGGAGCTGAGCTGTCAGCACCAAGGCTGATGTGGAGCCTTGAACTCACCAACTGCGAGATCATGACCTGAGTGAAGATGGACGCTTAACTGACAGACCCAGGCAGGCGCCCCTAGCCTTTTTCATTTTGATCTCAGTTTGTATTAACAACTGGGATTTTCAAGTGTATGAATCATGGCTGTGTATGAAATATCCATCAATGAGATCAAATTCATATAAGCAAAGCATAACGGACCAGAGTGTCTTTGTTTGACATTAGACAAAATGTTTCCTCATACAAGGATGTATGGGGGGGGGGGACTCCCAGCTCCAAACAGGGAAATTTCTCTCCTGATACTGGGTTGTCCTGTCAGGAGTAACGTTTAGATGTTCTACCCATGGGTCATTAGGTATCTGATTGACAGTGAGAGAAACATACACCTGATGTCCTGAAGGGCCATTCTCATCAAGAGATCCAAGTCTTAGGGTTTTCTTTAAATACAATGATCAAGCACACTGAGATCATTGAGCTGGTCCTTAAAGAGGCAGATCCTTTCCACAGACTCTTATCTGCTCTAAATAACATCTTTCTTCAAGTGTGCGGTCTCTGGCCAGTACAGCAGGCTGTACAGGCACCAGCAGCTGAAGACGTACGCCGCCCCTGCCAAGAGCAGACCAAAAGGCTTCCTTGCTATTTCATCAACTGGCAAAGGACACCTATGTTTGTGTGCAGAATCTAGTAAAGTTTAGAGAATGTCATCCATTTTGTTCTTCAGCCTGTGCTTCCGGACTGCCTTACAGAAAATATTTTTGATCTCTTGATGGAGAGTTCTGTCCTGAAATTAGGTACGGCAGCCCACCTGCGAACAGACAGACGGCACAGCTAACGCCTCCATCCAAATCCACACGCCGCTGTGTCACCCTCTCGTGGCGTTAACTTCTGATTTCCTTTCCAGGTACACAATGGCCAGCTGATAAAATGATCTGCTCAGGAAAGAGCTCCAAGCTAATTTCTTTCTTCTCCCCAACTTTGAAAATATTCCTTTGTTTCTTTTCAGTTATAGAAATGTGCTACCTACAACTGACCGTGTTAAGGCCACTTTTTTAAAAAGTATTTATTTATTTATTTTGAGAGAGAGCGTGCGTGTACGTGCACGTGAGTGGGGGAGGAGCAGAGAGAGAATCCCAAGCAGCCTCCATTGTCTGCATGGAACCTGATGTGGGACTCGAACCCATGAACCGTTGAGATCATGACCTGAACCGAAATTAAGAATCAGAACCTCAACCAACTGAGCCACCCAGACATCCCAAGGCCACTCTTAATATCTTCTTCTGCTCCAAGAAAACTGGATTAGGTACATCCCCTGCAACTCTCTTTCCAAACACAGGTATGGCCAGATGACTGTAGACACCATCTGCATTCTGATCGTCATTGTTATGATTAAAAAGGCAAAGCAGCAGCAGCACTCCCCAGATGTAAATACCTCGCCTACCGTGGTAAAACTAAATGCAGGTCCATGTTTCGCGCGTGTATTTTCTAGGCATTCAGTTGGACGTTTCCCCAAATGCCATAACGTGTTCAAGGAACGGAACTGGAAAAAAAAATACTTGGTGGACTCTGTGCCTCTGCTCGGAGCGAGGCCTGGCGGCCAGAGGTGTGGTGGAGCAGGTAGACCAGGCTGAGCATAAAGGGGATCCTCGGCAAGGACAGGGGGCTGACACCTGTCATCTGCTCCATCGATGGTCCAGCACTACTTAGGTCCACCAGGGACACCACAGGCCAAGGTCATCTCCAGTTTTTCGAATCCACAGAGCAAGAGAAATGAGCAGATGGGCACCTGGAGGTGACCTTGGCCCTCAGGACTCCCGCTATACCCAGTCCCACCTCCCATTCCTTTCAAGTGCTTTATTCCCCTCCCCATAATTGTCTCAGCAATAAATTAAACTTTTTTTTTTTTTTAATTATTGAGGTTTAGAGTTAGGTACACTAAATGAAACTGAGTGCTCCTGTCAGTTTCAAAGTTTCTGATCCTTTAAGATTCTACTTCCTAGAAAAGTCTTAACACATTAAATGCTTCCTTGGTGACTTAAAAGTTTTCATTTGTTTCTAAACCTGCAGAATTTATCACTGTCTACACAGCACCAAACCTACTGTTCAGAGCAGAAACCCAAGGGTCCATCAGTCCGCTGGTTTGGCAACAACCAAGTAGGAAATCTCTTAATAACTGCGATCTCAGGAACGAATGCTACCCTAGCACCCTAAGGGTTCATTAGGCTGCTTCTAGTGCTCTATGTAAGTGTGAGCAAAAAGTGTGACACGCTAAACTATAATTAATATCTACTTAAAATAAAAGTAAGCAAAAGTTTAAGGTAGACCTTAAGCTTCACTTTTAGGTTATTCAAAGTTTTGTTTGCGATGGCATCTTACAGAATGGGTGTTTATAATGGTTGTCCTATATTAAATTTTACTTGGCTTTTTATTTAACAATTTTTGTACTTACTACATTCTTCCCAATCTTTTGATGAGGCTTGTGAATTTTGCAATGGCATTCAGAGAGTCATTTTCCTCATTAAAGTGGTCCACACCTCAAAAATGTTTGCCATGCATTTATTCATGTAGTCACTGAATATGGAAGTGAAAACTTACAACATGGAATGCTTGTATTAAGTGAATAGAATGGAATCAATATTTTATCTGATAACACAGGTCCCTGATGACCACCACCAAAATATCATCAAAACACTACTTTAAAGAATCTATTCCTGTACCTCTGAGGTCCCCTACAGCTGCTATAACAAACTGCCATAGACCAGATGGCTTATAAACAACAGAAATTCCTCACCATTCTGGGGCCTGGAAAGTCCAGGATCAAGGTGATGGCAGATTTAGTGTGTGGTGAGGACCTGCTTCCTGGTTCATAGATAACGATGTTCTCGCCATGGGTCTTCACATGGGGGAAGGGGTGTGGGAGATCTCTGGGGCCTCTTTTATAAGCCCACTCATTCCATTCACGAGGGCTTCACCCTTAGAACCTAAGCACCTCCAAATAACAAGGCATTGGGCATACGAATTTAATATATGGATTCACGGGGCTGTCGGGAAGGCAGACATAAACATTCAGGCTTCAGCAATCCCCAAACATTCTTTCACGTCAGGGGGCCAAGTACTCACAATGTAAACCAAATTCTCTATGCTCTTACCCTTGCAAGTGCTTCCTCAATGGTGATCATCTTCTCCTTGACCATCATCATCAGCTGAATTCGTTCCTCATCACTCATTGTTATCTCGCTTGCAACGTAGCCCACATCTTCTCCTAGAGATTGAAGACAAAAGACAGGGATGAAAAAAAAAGAAAAGAAAGAGAAAACAGAATGCTAATCCTGAAAGTTCACTGTTTGTTCAGGACTAGAGAAGGAGGTAACTCAAGGGCACTGTCTAGCATTGCGCGTTACTGATGGAGCAAGAGAGGCAGTAATGGGCTGCTTCTGAGGAAGCCACTGAGTCCACCTTATTGGGAAATGGGCCCCGAGAACCTATGGACATTACCGTAGAAACAATCCTTCAAAATGATCAGAGCCTTTGTGATGGAGGGTCTAGTGGAGTTTTGGAAGAAAGCTGACAGGAAGCCTAGGGTAGAAGGTGGGACAGAGACCTAATTTAAAGACCTGCTTAGAGGAGACAAGCATTCTAAAGCTCCTTTGGCCATGGTCCTCTGTGCCCTTCCATTTCAAATATAAACAAAAGGAACACTTTTTTGAGAGAGGCGGGAGGGACCCCTCTTTCATAACACAGAACTTTAAGGTCACAGTCAGCTGCAGAACAAGACCTACAGCCTGGTGAGAGCCTAGATTCTTCCTAAGCGGTGTGACTGTTGTTCCTCATGGGAGAAGCACAAGTAAATAAAATTACAGGTACAAAGTATGTTGATTCACTGGAAGGGAGGTTATTATATATCTGAAAGTCTCGTCATAAATACGTATCCAAATTGTGAGGGAACTCAGCTTCCCACTCAAAACTGAAGGCAGCCAGAACTGCTCAGGAAAAGGGAATCCCCTTATTAGGATCCTTCCAAAGGGCTTTCCCGCAAAGCCAATGGAGGGCCCTGCCTGTGATATCCGCGAGCCCCGTGGGCTTGTTGCTTCTGGTCAGCGTGTGGGGCTACAGCACACAGACTGGGAATACGCGCACATTCTGGTCGCTCATCTTCCTCCTGTCCTGTCTTTCTCATACATACTTTGCCAGCTTCGATGTCCCTAGGATGCTGGGCTATGGCTAAATTTGCTCTTGGTGTAGAGGGACAGTACAAGAGCCCAAATTTGCTCTTGGTGTAGACGGACAGTACAAGAGCCCGGCTGCAGACTTGCTGGAACCGACTGCAGTCAGGGCCTGGCCTGGAATTTATGTTCCCCAGGGGTTCCCTATCTCATTTCCATTTTGTAATCCATCAGTCCAGAAATACCACTCAAGTTCCACTTGTCCGGGAAGACTAATAGTGTGTGCTGGGTGAGGGGACAAGCCTGCTGGTTTGATTCATTTTACTATCTGCGTCACCTCCGATAGTGGAGGGGGTGATAGGGAGCTGGCTGGGGTGTTTTATCTGTCTTTTAAAATCCACACGCGCCAGCAAACTGTTGGCTTCCTCCCACCATCCCTCCATCCCTTTCTCGCACACGTTTTCCTTTCCTTTCTTTCTAAATGAGACTTTGTTTAGGATCCAAGGTTTCCTTTGACTCACAAGTGACCCTGGGTGTGGACCCAAAGGAAAAAGTGGCAGTTGTGAAGGAGATGGTGTCCCATGTATGGTGGGACAGCTGAAATGGCCCTGCTGACCGTTGCCGAGGGACCCAGGTGGGCTCCCCGGCGTACATGCCGTCCCCGTCCACTTTTCCCATTCCCGTGCATCTGAGTAAGTAGACAAGCCTTCCGAACAGGGCAGGACGCTAAGACTTTGTAAAAGAACACAGTGTCACTGGTGAGCAACTGCAAGTTTTCATCTCATGATAACCTCAGTCGGCTGGACCGGAATCTAGACGTGGCTTTGTTTCCGTTTCTGTTCCCTCTCTGAATACGGAGGAAACATAAATTACATAACGGGGCCTCAAAGGGATGACATATTTACTTACTATATAAACAACAACAAAGACACAGCCAAGAGGAGGGAAGGACTCCCTTCACCAAGCCGCCCAGGCAAATTCCCATGATGTCAGGCCATTAGACATTGACCCGGAGCAAAAACCCCCATATCTGTCCCCGCCACAGAGACGCATCAGAAGTTCAGAAGGCTGCAAAGGACCCAAGGGGCAGGACAGGGGGGTGATTCCAACACTAACAAATGCTATGACTTTCTAGACCCTTTCAGGATCGATCTTGGTGGGTCGAGATCTTCCTGAGGTCGGTGCGACCGAGAACCCAAAAGGTTTGGTCTTTGCCGTCAGATCTACGAAAAGGAAGATTGGCCCAACTCTTCTCATTTTATTTTCTTTGATTACGACAAACAAACAACAACACTGGGATGCAGTCTTAAAGTAATGATAGGAATGCAGAGAAGTTGAATACGTTACAGGCACAGGCAATGAGTTATACTGAGGCTTATAGCATCCAGTTAGACCAGCGACACAGGCTTCTCCGCATTTGAGGGCCAAAAGACCCTACCATCGGCCAGCTGTGTCACAGTACCTTTTGAAGTCTGTCTCATTATTCCTTTCTGGTTCTTTCGGAAGTTCTGCCAGAAATACTTATTTTTCTTCTTCCAATCTCCTTTTCCTTTAAAAACAAAAGGGGGGGAGGGAAAGGCACAAGCAATAAATTCCTTAATAACAAAAGTAGCCTCTTCTTTATAATTCAAAGCCTCTAAGAATACTTTGATTTCACAAAAAGACAATTTTTCTCTTACAATTTGTGAAAGACTGGGAAATGCCTAAAAAGTTGTTTAAAAGAAATGCAAATCTCCTAGTAGCAAGTAATGGTGCGGTGGGGTTAAGATGAGAAATAAAGAAACATCAAAAAGGCAGGCCAAACATGCATTCTTATATTCCCTTTGATGTTGTCTAACTAGGCTGTCTAATTCTGCCTGGTCTTGCCTTGTGGTAGATTCTCCCCCTCTGGTCTCAGCCACAATTATCTCGACCAAACCACAAATAGGATACTTTAAGAAGTTAACTTTGTTTCGTCGTTATCCCTGGGGTGGAATCCCCCTCCCCAACCCCCCCACCCTTGACTTCGTTCTGTTATTCCAGATTTAATGAAGACAACAGAATGGTTGGTATGTCCTCTGGGCACTTGTCAACAGAGCTGGTCCCCTGGGCCTGTGGTGTTGACCTGCCCTCTTTCTCTAGGGTGCAGAGCCCACTCGGGCGCAGCTGTGTTGTGGGTGGGGCGGCGAGAAGGGGCTCGCACCCAATGGCGCTCAGGCTACTTGGTGACCTACCACTTGCAGCTACCCAGGGTTCAATGACAAGAGCAGACTGACTGTGATCCCGCTGTGACCGCTCCCGAATGGGTCCTCTCCTTCCCCGTCTCCCCCACCCATCCCCCGCCCTGTCCCCCACTGTTCTGGGACCAGTTTCACTTGGCTTTGACAACAATGTCACTGCCACAGCCAGGCATCTGCAGTCTTTGGTGGGGTTCTGATCACCACTGACCCACAATACCTTTGAAAGAGCAAAGGGAAAGAAGAGAGCATGTAAAACAAATAGAGTAGGTCTTTATTTAAGAGTGAAATGAAGCAGCAGCCCTCGCATAGACGTGGCATGCTCACAGCAGAGGCTTTGTCACTGTTGCCACTTGGTGTCTGGTTGCTCTGTGGCCACTGGAAACAGGACCCGGCGGAGTAATGCACTGTTCGTTTCCACAGTCTAGACTGGTGGTGCCAGGCCATATGGCACAAAACAGGCACGTGGAAACCCATGTCCACGGGGCTCCCAGGCTAGCAAAGGCATCATGTGTCAAAACAAGATGCCCCCATTTAAGTTCTGATGCACCCGGGAGCTACGGAATGAAACACATGCCAGCTGGGCTGAGATGTCCTATGGACTCAGAATCTTGAAGGTGACCTTGATGGCACCTGCTGCCTCTGGCTAAACACAGCAGCAGATATCAGCCACGAAAGGTTAACGCGGAAGTAGGATTATCACTAATTCAGCCTTTCTCTAGGGCAATTAGGGCTTATAATGTACTTCTTTTACTGGAAGTTATACTCCTCCTTCTTCCTCTATTTTAATGCTTCCAAAATGGAGGTGCAAATTACAAAAATAAATAATAGCTAACAGTTATTAAGCATTCACCATACCCAGGCACTTTGCTATTTAATGGCTTATTTCATTTGATACATACAATGAATATGATGTATTATTGTTTTCATTTAACGGATGTGAAAACTGAGGCTTCAAGAGGCAAGTGACTTGCCTGAGGCCATAACCACTGATTTGGAAGGGTCATGATTCAAATCCGAATCGAAACTTGATCTGAGCCTTCTGTTCCTGATGACAATTGACCTTAGCAGGCTCACTCTGACACAAACAGAGATGTTACTAAATCAAGAGTGGATTTTATAATCAAGGAAATGTAAGATACGTAACACCTTAATTGTGTATAGTCTTTCATTTAGAAGTTCCAGGTCAAAGACTTATCCTAAGGACATGATCAGGGAAGGCTCAAGGATTTTGAGCATAGTATCAATTCTCTCAGAGCAAAAATTAGAAGCAACTTAAATGTTCAGCAAAGAAGAGATGGTTGATTGAATTATGGCCCGTCCGATATGATGGAATATTATACAGATTAAAAATTTTTTACTGCAAAGAATATTCAATCAATGTGGGAAAACACTCAGGACCTATTCAGCTTAAAAAAAAAAAAAGTGTACATATATATATACATACATATAGAGAGAGAGAGAGAGAGAGAGAGATACACTTTATATATATATATATATAATCTGTAGAGCATGATTCCAATTATGTTTAAAAGAAAGCCCACATATATACAGGGGAAAAAATACGAAAGGAAAGGTATGTATCAAAATCTTAACAGTGTTTCTTTCTGGATTGAAAGATTCTTTGTGGCCTTTGGGGTTTTTTTTTCACAATTTATATGTTTTCAAAAGTATTAAAATAATTTTAAGTTATTAAACGAAGAAAAGGAGTACTGACCTACAGAGCCGTCTTCAGAGTTTGACTTAGGAAGAGTGTTCCTAGAAAAAGAAAAACAAGTCTGATTACCAGGGAGCCTTGCCTTTGTGTGAGAACTGAAAACCCTCCCAAGTCGCCTGACCCAGCATCAATACAACCAGCAGAGTCAGGGAATTCTGATAGGGTGTTTCCCACTGGCCTTATCCAGCCAGCTGCTGCCTTTCTAGAAACACACTCACGAACCATTGGTCAACATTTACTGAAGATTCACTCTAGGGTAAGAGCTCTATTAAATGAAGGGAACGGATTTTACTAGATGATCACCGGATAATCCACTTGTGTGAACTATTCACTACAGGTTAAGATACTGCCACTGAGAAGTCTCTTGTGTAAGTGGGGAAGAAAAAGCAAATAATAATAAAAATCTAGATCCAGCACCACAAATGCCAGCCACTTGGACCAGCAGGTGAGTAAAGTGGTCAGCTGTGAGAGGAAAGTAGGAGAGCAGATGCTCCAAACAAAAGGGGGAGGGGGCAGCAGTATGTAGTTTCTACATTTGGTTGCTGACAATTTGCAAGCACGCTATCCGCCTCGCTAGATCTTCCTATGTTCAAAGAGAAGCCAGGAAATCTGCTTTAATAATAATAATAATAATAATAATAATAATAATATGGGGCGCCTGGGTGGCTTAGTCGGTTAAGCGTCAGACTTTCGCTTAGGTCATGATCTCGCGGTTCGTGGGTTCGAGCCCCGCGTCAGGCTCTGTGCTGACTGACAGCTCAGAGCCTGGAGCCTGTTTCAGTCTGTGACTCCCTCTCTCTCTGACCCTCCCCCGCTCACGCTGTCTCTCTCTCTCTCCTAGAAATAAATAAAACATTAAAAATAATAATAATAATAAATAATAATAATAAAGTGAGGGGGTGGAAGAGAGAGAACTCCACATTTTTAAGTGATGGCAAATAATTCAATGTTTTTAAAAATGTGTCCAAGTTAATCAAGACATGTCTGGGCACCAAATTGGGCCCACACCCTACCCTACCCTTCCCTGCCTGCCCATTTGTGACTGCTGATCCAGACAAATCCAAAGTACCTTGAAACATGAACGCAACCCAAAACCAATTAATTAAGCATTTCTCTTGAAAACACATAGGCAGACACCAACTTAAAGTAAGAGGGAAAGAAAGCAAAGAAAGTTAAAATGGAGTCTCTCGAAAAGATCAGGAGAGGTGGAGCAGTCTCTCATTAAGTGGGTCCAAAGCCTAGAGGCGAAGTTCAGTGTCTACTTGCTGACAAGGAAAACGGGACCGAGGACCCTGCGTCAGAACAGAAGCACAGCTACTCAGGGGTTGATACTTGAACCTTCCCAGTTCAAGTTCATCTGCCAGGGAGGAAGGCAGGGGCGTCCGACAAAACACCCCGAGATGTGAAAATGTGTGGGAAGACAGAGGCCAGAACCGTGTCACACTGAGGAGATCAGAAGACAAGAAGCAGAACAGGGGAACGGCGATCTGCTGCCCACCCGACAGGGGAAAGGACCTCGAGAATTGAAGGTGACCAGGGAGGGCAGGAAGGGCTTTCTGTCACGCAGAGTCACCTGCGATAGGCCATGTATCCTCAGGGCAGGTGCATGGATGCTAGCTGACCACTGGCTGCCAGGCCCTGCAAATACCTTCAAACCCTCCACCTGAGAGGAGAGAACTATTTCTGACTAGCACGCAGATCTAACAGACTTCTCCTGTCGACACGGCGCGAGGGGAGGTGCTGAGGATAGAATCGGGGGAGGCATCATTTCATTTGCTGAGGCCCACAGCTCGGTCTGAAGTCACGACTTCCCATTACTGCGATGCTGTGAACATAGAAAATGTAAGGAAGGCCCACCTTATCATCAAATTTTGCCAGGATTTAGTTCCAAGGATCTACTCTCTGCCCTCCTGGCCACACGAAAATGACAAGGACTAAAGATATACTTACCTAAAAAGTGATGTCAGTTTTTAATTCATTCAGCAAAAATGTACCAAATGCTATTAAGAGTAAGGTACATAGACGATTACAAGGAAATGGGGCTCTCGATGTAGGGAGGGCGACAAACGTGAACAAATGAGAAGTACTTGCAAAGGAGAAGGAACTGGGAGGAAGGGGAAGGCAGGGGTGCGGAAGGAGGAGGAGGAAAAGAAGGAACAGCAGCAGCACGTGCAAAGTGCTCGGCGCCACAGAATCATGGGCAAGGCCCAACAGCAGCAGCAGAACGGACTATAGGCGGTCGGCCAGTTGGCTGGGGGCTGCGGCAGAAAACCTTTCAAATGAAACAATATTTTGAGCTGAAGCTTGGGTTCTTAATTTTTTTTTTTTTTTACATTTTATTCTGTTGCATTTTGAGCTCAAAGTCATGGTAATAGGCATCAGTTCACCCTACCTCAACTGGCCGTGACCTTCCAGCACAACCATCTACAGCTTTCGTCTACTGCATACAGCAAAGGGAGTGCCACATTTATTTTTAAACTCACTCACTCTAAGGACTAGGAGAGTCTTGACCTAATTGCTGAGGATCAAAGGTATCAAATATCCCTAACTCTTGAGCAACTACTTAACTGTGTAATAAACTATAAATACGTGTGTGAAGTTTTCCTTTTTATAAAAAAAAAAATCTTTTCATGGGGGAAATGGCCTAAAGAAACTTTACTTTTCTTTAGTCTTTTGCTGATGTAGAATAATACACCCTTATTGAGTTGTAAGGAATGTTATTAAATTTGTTGAAGTTTTTAAAATTTATTTTGAGAGGAAAAGCATGTGAACGGGGGGAGGGGGGGCACCAGGGAGAGAGAGGGGGAAAGAGGGAGAGAGAATTCCAAGCAGGTTCTGCATTGTCCGCACAGAGCCCAACATGGGACTCGATCTCATGAACCATGAGATCATGACCAGAGCAGAAATCAAGAGTCGGACGCATAACTAGCTGAGCCACCCAGGCGACCCCAGAAGTGACCCAAGGTTCCACCAGCTGGTTATAGGCCAACACAGAGCCATCCCCAAGCAATGGCAACCCAGCTGTCTCTCTCCCAGATGATAGGCTCTTCCTCTCTGGATAAAATGAATAGAAAATGGATTCTACCCTAGTCTTAAAAAATTCAAAGCCTAGCTTCTATTTTCCAACCCATTTTTCATATTTCCTGCAAAATGAGAATGTCTTCTATCATAAAAACACTCAAGAACCCACACTGCATAAAAAGATACGTTCTCACTATTACATAGTTATCACAAAATATAAATGTGCTTTCCCCGATAAACTGCTGGCTTATAATTTTTTATTTTTACCTACTCTCTTCAAATTATTACACATATTTAAGCTGTACCCTCAGGTTTGCACTTTTGATCTTTTTGTTATGAGAAGTGTTTTTACTACTGATTGCTTGCATTTCCCTACATGGCCAGCAGATGGCACTGCAGCTCCTCTATTCATCTTGCTGAGACAAACGGATTTTATTTTTAACATTCCACAAGTTCACAATCTAGATACTGGCCAAATAGCAAGCCAGTGTTTCCTAAGTGTGAGGCTCCCCAACTTATCAATGTGCAAAGGCGGAAATGACATCGTACGAAGTTTAATCTGGACGCAGTGAATTGTCCCTGCAAAGAGAGGCGGGCAGAGCAGTGATGTGAAATGCCATCTTTCTCCTGGAGACAGATTAAATTCATACGGCAGGAGCAAAAACCAATGATGTAACCAAATTCCAAAATTTGGGTGGCAGCAGGTGGAAAGGTCATTTACTGATCTCCTGGTGGAACAAATTAATGCTCAGAAGTCAGTTCCAAAGAGGCCTCGTAGCACCTCCTCCCTGCAGCCAGATGCCACAGGCCTGGAAACCACAAGCTGTCTGCCCTTTCCTATCCATCACTTTCGCTGGCAGCACAGTAAAAGGGATGCGAACCTCAGCATGCGTTTCTGGGTTTCGATGACGAGGACGCAATAATTAACATCCTCCCGCATTCTGAACATCTACTTAAGCACTGAATAATTCGGATTTTGCATTTAGTGTCTGAACTCAATCTTAGAAGTACCCTTACATCAATAACTACGGGGCCCCAGTGTAAATGTTTTTCTCACCATCCCTAAACTACCTCAGCCCTCTCTGAACTCCAAATTCACTTAAGGAAATTCAATAAACAATGTATGAATGAGATTTAAACAAAATAATTTAAGGCACAGCATCCCTGAACTTAACCAAGTCCTTCATCCTACCTCAATGTTTAGCAAGTTCTTTGTTAAAATGCTTCCTTCCTTTCTTTTCACTCACCATTCTTTCTTTCCTTCAATAAATGTTTATCCAATTCCCATCATGACACTGGCATCCTTTGAGGTATTGGGAAGGTAGCAGCAAATAAGACAGTAAGATCTGTGTTCTCAGAGCTAAGGGGAGGAGCAAGAAGCAAGGTGAGGGGGCGTGTAGATCAAGAAATGGGGAGAATTTTTGATGCGATGGACAAAGAAGTCTTCTCTCGAGAGGTGAGAGGTGAACAGAGACCTAAATGATGAGCTGGAATGATGTTTTGTTCCCCCCCCCCCCCCCCCATGGCTGGGTAGGGAAAGAACGAGGAAGAAAGCAAGAGGTCTGCTCTCACACAGGCCGTTTGAGGTGCTTACTCAACATCCCCGTGGAGATAGTCAACAGATAGTTGGGTACGCGAGTCTAGAGTTCACGAGCATTGCTGAGGGCTGGAGATCAGATTTGGAAGTCACTTGCATATTTAAAGCCAGAAGACCAACTGAACACAACGAAGAGAAGTGGCCTGAGGCCTGGGCTCAAGGGCAACCCAATCCTCAAGGTCAGGAAAAGAAGGTGAAGCAGGAAGTGGGACGTAGGAGAAGTAGTCAGTGGGGAGAAGGAAAACCAGGGGCATGCTTTTCCCTTTCCCAGCAAAAATAAGATTAAAATTGATTTTACGGAAACTACATTGCTGCCTCAAATGCCATACAGGGTAAATTCTAGGTTGCTCTATTTTCTTTTCTCTGGAGCCTGTGGCTTCACAGTAGGGATCTCCATGTGGCCATAGAGGAGAAACAGACAAA